CCTGGGGGGGGTGGAGGTTCCCAGCCTCCCAGGGGAAGGCGGGCCACCGTTTTTAGATTCATTTACCAAGAGAAACCAAACACTTTGACTTTTACCTGGGACAACCTGACGTTTACATGTTGGCAATTAATCATTTGACGATTTGGAAGACTCAGCAAGACAAGCATGAAGGCGGATTCAGCCCCTTAGCACCTCTGACCCGCCTGTCGCTCTAGGTGGAGCTGAAGACAGGTGCTAGAGTCCCACTCGGCCATTTTAAACCTGAACCAAGTTCGAGCAAGTTGGCAAGATCAATGTCATTTTTGGAACCACTTCCCGGGGCCTCGGCTGTGGGGCCGCGGGGAGTGGCCGCCCACGGGAACCCCTCCCAGAGGGGAGGAGAGGGCAGCGAGTGTGCTCCCCACCCACCACACTCGGAGTCCCCCAGACCTGCCCACCTCCTCTCCCACTGAGCCCTCGAGAGGTCAAGGGGCGTCTTGTCCTCTGGCTGAGCCAGTGCAGCGGGGGGAGTAGTGGGCGGGAGGAGAGCCTCCGGGGTGCGTGCTCGCCCCTGGTGGTGCGGGGTTAAGTCTCGGCATCCGCTACCGCAGCCGCTGCAGCCGAGTTCACTGCCCGCCAGGAGGGACCCACGTGGCGCGGCAGGCAGACCTCTCCTGTCCCTCCTGCGGCTCCCCTCAGCGGGGTGTTTGAGTCCATCGGCCTATTCTGGGCCCCTGCTCTGTCTCTGGTGAATCTTCTCACCCTCGGCAACTCTGGCCTGCACCCCAATTTGTATGTGCATACATAAATAAAAATAACTCTTTACAAAAATTCAGCAAGACTAAAGTGAGGGGGGCACTCTGGGAGAACAAAATGTTTCCTGAAGGGCTTGATCTTGAGGCCCCTTTTTTCTCCAGAGCAGCTCAAGTTGTGTCCCAGGGAACCCACTTTGGGGAGGGCTGCTGTGGGCGCAGGTGGGCCCCAGGCTGGGAAATGATGGGCTCCCCGACCTGGATCTTCTGGGTCTTCTTGAGCATCATCTCCATGTCATTGTTGAGCTCCGTGACGTACGTGAACCGAGCAAAGTTCTTCTCCTCCTTGGCTAGAAAGTCCTCGATGAGCTGGTGCAGGTTTCTGTTCTGGGACAGCTTGAGCAGCCGCAGGTGTGCCACCTCGTAGCTCTCCGAGCTCTCACCCTTGTTCTTCTTCCCGTGCTTCATGGCTTTGAGGGCTAGAAAAGACCCCAGCGCCTGAGTCTGAGAGGAGCCACTCTGAGCAGCTCCAGGTTACGCTGCCTTGAGGGGGCGAGGGGTGGCAGGGGGATGAAAGGGGGCAGGGGACGCCCCCAGACGCCGGGCGAGACCCCGGCTCCTAGCCCCCACCTTCTCCAGGAAGCATTTGCTGTGCGCCGGCCTCTGCGACCCACCCTGCTCCCCAGGGAGCTTTTAGGAGGAATCAGACAAAAGGAAATCTAAACTTGTCATTTGCTAAATTTGGCTTATTACAGGGAGACTTGGGCTCCTTGAGGCGCGAGGGGAGAGCGTGAGAATGGAGAGGAGCCTAGAAAGCGTACCTCCTTCTCTTCTGGCCTGTTCCTCAAACTCTATGCGATCGTTCAGCTTGACCAGCAGGAAGGATTTGAGCTTAGTCTCGTGGTTGTAGACGCGCTCCAGCTCGCGGATCTCCAGGTTGTACTGGGAGATGTCCTTCTGCTGGCGGTCCTTCAGGGCGGCCATCCGAGCCATGGCTTCCAGCCTGAGCAGAGTCCAAGCACAGAGTCCGGGTGTCTGAAAACTCGTCTCTTCTCTGACTCTTACCCCACCCGTTCTAAATACTTCCAGCCCGGTCAGTGGCCATTATTTCTTCTCATCGTGGAGGTTTCTGGGAGTAGAACCACCTTCCTTACATGACTGACAGGAGTTGCAAGCCTGAGCTCACCTCCCTTCAACGATCCACCACCACCGCCATTGCCCTCACCGTCACCACCATCATCCTGACCGTCGTCATCGTGAACGTGTTCATCACATCAATCATCATCACTATCTCCATCACCACTATCACCACCATCTTGTCATTTACTATGTCCCAGCCACTCCCTGATGTCCATATATTATTTACCGCTCACTACTACAACGATGTAGTAGTGGTGGAGGCAAGATTCAAACCCAGATCTTGCTGATTCCCAAACCTGCGGTTCTCCACAACTAAGCTGGAGGCCTCTAGCCCCAGTGAGTGTGAAGCCAGGAGATAGCCGAGCCCGAGAGACACCCCAGAGGGTGCCCGGAGGAGATGCTAGCACATTGTCGTTTGAATCTCAGCTCTATCCGATCACCATTTACTGGCTCTCAGCTTACTACTTAGCACCCATGTCCTGCTCTGTCACCTGGGGATAAACTCCAACGACAGTTGTGAGCATTGAAATAATACCCAAAGCACCTGGCGCCGTGCATGGCACAGTCAGTGCTTCGAGTTATGATGGTGGTGATGGAAGGTTTCTCAACACAGAAGCACAGAGGACAGGGTGGCCGGCAGTGGGAAGCCAGACACTCGGGAGAAAGCGAAGCAACAGCACGTCTCGGCCCAGGGCCTCCCCCTAGCCCACCTCTGGTCGTAGGCCTGAGCGGATTGCTCAATGGCCAAGTTCATGGTTTTCTTCTGCATCAGCAGGCGCTGGTGGAGCTGCTGGTAGACGTGGTCATAAGCAGCCTTCTCATACCGAAGGTCCTCAATCTCCTTCCGGAGCTTCGCATTGGTGGCCAGCATCTTGTTAAAGTGAGTGGTGACCTGAGGGGAGGGCCGTGCCTCAGAGCAGGGCTCGCTCCTGGGGCATGAGACAAGCTCCCAGAAGGTGGCCAGAGGTTTGGAAGTCTCCCCCCACCCCCCGCCGCCACTTCCCACCCCCGGCCACAGGACAGGGGTTGGAGTGCTGGCTGAGAGCTCAAGTTGGCCACCAGCTGTCTGGATGACCTTTGGCAACTGAGTCAGACCGGGTTTACCGAGCTTCCAGAATCGGCGATTCCCGGAGAGAGAAACAAGATAAATGACACCGCGAGGAAGCCATCAGCGACATCCTAAAGGGGCGCTTTCTACAGGGCTGCTGAGCCCCACTCCCCACATGCTGATGGTGCCCAGAGTCGGGCTGGGGTCATCCAGAGCACTGTAGTTTGAATCTCAGCTCTGGCTCTCAGCTTACTACCTGGCACCCATGTCCAAAGGCAGCACCCCTGGCACCTGTGCTGTATAATGCTTCGTGCTGGGGGCTGCGGTGCTTGGGAAGATGTTCACGAGGCACCAGGTGGCAGTGGCACCCAGGCCACCACACAGCCACGACCAGAAATGTTTCCTTTGGGGGCAAGATTTGCCTTGATTGACAACCACTGTTCTAGATTAAAGAAACCTGAGACCTCACGTCAATAGGATCCTTGATCGGATCCAGCTTTTAAAGTCCTTTGGGGGCGAGCTAGAGAGATGGTAACCAGGCGACACTGGTTTTGTAAGATGGGACCGTGATCTCATGGTTTGAGAGAAAACGTTTAACTTTTAAACGGGCATGCTCAGGTATGAACGGGTGAAACGTCAGTGTCTGGAGTTTTCCTTAAAATAGTAGGGGGGAAGGGTGAAACAAACACAGCAAAATGTGAACAATTAGTCAGTGTAAGCCGCGGGTGTTCATGGGCTCACTCCCTTTTGTATGTCTTCCTAAATGTGTCCTAACAAACATGAGAGAAGTGTATCATAAACACTGAAATTAAACACACACACGCATATTCCTTCGGGTAAGGGGAGAGGTCGCAGGAGAGATTTTCAAAGCCTGTTGTGAGGAGAGGTGGGTTTCTGCAGGGCGAGATTAAGGAGGCCCTGGCTCTGGGTGTCTGCGGCCCGCGAGCCTGAGAGTGAGCGGCGCCTCCTTGCGTTTTGGATCTGGGGCTGTCGCGTCCTGGCCCAATCCCAGCCGAGTTTCTTCTAGGGCGAGTCCCGAGCAGCAACACCACAGAAGGGAGCCACTGCGCCCGGTTCTGACTCTATTTTTGCAACCTCCCCTCGCCTTAGAAAGACACCAGCCACTAGTCATTTGCTCTTAGGTGAATTTAGCCCCAAAGCTACTGACCTGCTATGCTATCCCCTGTCCTCTGCCTCAGAGGGAATATTTTCAGGTTCCAGTGAGTAGGTGGCAGAGACTTTAGGTCTTGGGACCCTCCGGGGCCCTAAAATAACCTTAGAGGCAGCTAATAAACTAAGGCACAGACAGATGAGGCGGGAAGGGGAAGAGGGGGACTAGTTTGAGCTGCAAAAGTCACACCTCTCGGAAATGAAAGAGCGGCTACTACCACGGCCTTGGAGAAAGAAAATTATAAAGAAATATAAAAACCCAGCCCTCCCTGGGGGCGCAGCGGGTTAGAGCGCAGCACTGACAATCTAAAGCCACTTCCGCATGAGTTCGATCCCCGCCTGCCCCGGAGGTGACCACAGGGCGCGGCAGACCCCTCCTGACCCGCCCGCTGCTCCCCTCAGCAGTGTACTTCGTCGATCTACCTGTTCTGCTCCCCACTCTGTCTCTGGTGAGGCCTCTCGCCGCCCCAAGCCTCTGGCCTGTACCCCAGCTCTGTATGCACAAATAAATAAATCTTTAAAAAAAAAAAAAGAAAGGCTCCCTGGAAAGCTATGGGCCAACAAGAATGAGGGGGACAGAGGGTGAGTGGTGAGTTCCAAAAGGCCGCCTGGCCGTGGGGTGACTACCAGTGCACCTCTTAGTCAACCAACAGAGCAGCTACATTCTGCTACTTGCTCCACAGACATGTGCAGGGAAGACCTCACGTACGAGATTTAAACGGGTTTCCAAAATGTGGATCTGCTTTTGCAGTTTCTGGGGGTTGTTGGCCTCCTGTATTTTGGAGAAGATCTGTCTTTGGCTCAGAATTTTTTTTTCCATTTGAACAATCTGAAAGAGAGAGAGAGAGAGATAACCCATCTGTGTTAACATCTGTATGGACAGAAATGCTACTACAGTTCACTGACTCAAGTGTGCTAATCCCAAAAGTACATTGTTCTTTCTTTTTCTGTAAATGGAATTTTGATTTCTCTCCGGGATGCTGAATTCAACTTAGCCAGGTTGGGTTTAGTCTCATCTGTGCATGTGAAGTTCACGCACCTGCGGAAATAAATGCCAGCTTACCCTAAATCCACAGTGTCCACTAGAAGTGGCATCGGGTCCCGAGGAGCCCTCTGTAACCTGTTGGAAATTCTTTGGCGCTGCAGTGGTGTGGAGGAGGGGACGCTGGAGACAGAGTCAGCAGCCCTTAGGGGTAGGTAAGGAGAAGCCCCGATGCAGTGTTAGGTCTCTAGGGGCTAACCCCCGCCCTTGTGACTCTTCAAAGTCCCTCTGGAGATGGTGCAGTGAAAGCCCGCTTTAGAATTTTCTGTACCTAAAATCAACCTGTCTTTAACATATAAACCCAGGGTATTTGTCACTCCATTTAACAGACAATTATCCAAGAATAAATCAGAACATTCTTTGATGTGTCTGAAATTTTTCCAAGAATTTGTCTCCATTTAAAAAGTCATTTCACCAGCACAACCTGGCCCTGGGGTTGCAGACTCCAGCCCCAGTCTGCAGGATGGAATCCTCAGTGATTCTGCCTCTGGTGACATCTCTCTCTCCAGGGTCTGAAAACTGGCCCTCCATCCTCTCTGGCTCACTGCCTGTTTGTATAAATAAAGTTTTATTGGCACACAGCTGCAAGCATGCTTTAGGCACCATCTCTGGCTGCCTTCCTACTTGCTGTGGCTGAGTGGGGTGACTGCGATGCAGACTATGTGACCTGCAAAGCCAAAATATTTACTCTCTGTCTCTCTGCAGAAACAGTTTGCTGGCAGTGTTCTAGATAAGTCAGGCCAGAATGTTCTCTCGAAATACATACAATTTCAGTATAAATAAATGTCATTTCTTTCTCTGTTATAGCTAGGGCATTGATTGGAAAGAATCAATTCAAGAGGTAAAAGTTACTATCATTTATGAGTTTCATTTCAGGATTGTAGAGGTGTCACAGTAGTAAATGCAAGAAACCAGACGTGGAGACAAGGATGGGAAGGGGCTATTTATGTGCCCTTCTGTCTGCAGGCAAAATGAACCCGTGATTCGAGAGATCAGGTTCCTTGGGGGTGGTTCGTGGAACACAACCACGGAGACCTCTGGAGGAAGGGGGGGCATGCTCAAATGTTCTATATATCTTGATCTTGGAAATGTTCTATATATCTTGATCTTGGACTTGCACTAAGTCCAAGGTCATCAGCAGTTTCTTGGAAACTGCAACTTCAAGCAAAACGATATATAACAAAACGTGGCCCTTGAAAACATAGCTTTGTTCAAGGGAGATCAGGATTGTTTGGTTTTCTTCTCATTAATCAGCTCATCGGTAATAATACAATATTGAATGAAGTGACATATTCAAGAACCTCTTATGTGTAAAAATCCATCAAGTCATATCCTTAAGATGTGTGTACTTGGCTGTACATGACTAGTAACAGCAAAGAGTGAAGGAGGGAAGGCGCCCTCCTTCCTACTCCAGCACTGCTGCTCACCCTCCAGTTGCTTCAGTGTCCCGATTCATGCTCATACCCGATAAATTGTCCCTTCATTAAACTCTTCTCAAAGCACCTAACCAAAGTTCAATTGATTCCTGGCAGGAACCTAACTAATATGGGGTGGAGGTGGGGTGGCGATTTACTATAAACTGGGAGGAAGGCATTTGAAAAGGCTCCCCAAGAAGTCACGCTTAACTGGAGACTTCAAGGACGAGAAGCCAGGAGAGTGGAGCATGTGCAAAGGCCCTGAGGTGGGAAAAGTCTTATCCTGTTTGGGGAAAAAAAGTCTTCTGAAGCCTCAGTGAGACAAGTTAAGGAGGGAAGGGTGTGGGAAGAGGCCACGCTGGGGGGTGGGAAAGCATCATCTGGACTTCCACCACTCCTTCCCCTTGCTCTGTGTGCTGGTTAACCCTTCAAGAGAAAAATCACACCTTCCCATCCAGTTCTGCCAGCAGCACTTTCATGGATTTAATCAGAGCCTCGTAGTCCTCCTTGGTTTGCATCAGAAAGCGCAGTTCCACATAGTTTTTGTCATTCAGATCCAAGTTCTTTGAGGAATTGATGAGACTCAAAAGCAGGGTGAGTTCATCTTGCTCCTCCTGAAGGGTCTTGATTTCCTTGCTGTGGGGAAAGCAGCCTGTGATTAACCTTGAGTCTCCAGTCTACCTTGATCCTACCTGCGCAAGAAGCAGGGACTTGTCAAAGGTCTTGGCTCTAGGTCTAGAAGTCAGGTCACCTGTGACCCAGTTCCCAGCCACTTCAACCCCTCCACCTCTTTTGGACGGTCATTTATTTTCCTAGGGAGCAATTTGCAAATGTACCTGTCAAGACTCATTACCTAGACATAGTGGGAGCCCCAAGTCCTCTTTGCCAGCGGCTCACTGGCATTTGTCTGATTGTGCACTTTCCTGCCAGACTTTACAGCCAATTATCTCTGGTAATGAAGGCAAACCCATCAGGCAGGATTTTTCAATTTTGTGTCAACATGGAGATGTGCTCTAACCCCTAGCCCCTACCAGTTTCTCTACATGGGATACTAATGATTTATTAAATTGCTGGCACATGTCTCCTCCTTTCTCTCCCTCTGTCTACCCTAGAGGAAAGAGGAGGTGGGGACATGAGCAAACAGGAATTTCAAAAAGAGATGATCCAGGCAACTGCACAACAACTGAGCATGGGAAATGGCACAGAGGCTGTGTTTCTGGCAAATTCTGGGTGTCCTAATGCAGCTGCTCAGTGTGGTGGGTAGACCAGCTGCCTCACTGTCCTTTGGAAGCTTAGAAAAACACAGATGCTCAGGCCCCTACCTGGGACCAAATGAGTCAAAACCTGCTCTGTAACATCATTCTTTTTTTTTTTTTAAGATTTATTTATTTATTCATATAGAACTGGGGTACAGGCCAGAGATGCGGGGGGTGAGAGGATTCACCAGAGACAGAGCAGGGAGCAGAACAGGCAGATCAACAAAGCACACTGCTGAGGGGAGCAGCGGGCGGGTCAGGAGAGGTCTGCCGGGGCCCTGTGGTCACCTCCGGGGCAGGCGGGGATCGAACTCATGCTTAAGCGGCTTCAGCTTCCCAGTGCTGTGCTGTAACCTGCTATGCCATCAGGGAGGGCCTGTAACATCATTCTTAAATGACTGATAAAGTCAAGTTTAGGAAGCACTTAGAACAGCACAGAATGTTCTAGAACAGAGTTCTGTGAACTTTTTTCCAAAAGTGCCAAAAAATAAATAGTTTAGGCTTTATAGGCCCAGTGGTCTCTGTTGCAAACACTCAACAAAGTGATCATGGGCTGCCTGTCAATGAGGAGGCATGGGTGTGTGCCAATAAAACTTTATTTACAAAACAGGCAATGAGCCAGCCTTGGCCCAAGGGCCACTGTTTGCTGACCTGGTTTCTAAAGCAGTGCTGTCGGAAATGCTCTCTACTACTCCGTCCCATTGCATCCATTTCAATGTGGCTACTGCACTGAAAGAACTAAATATTTAATTTATGTATTTAATTAATTACAAATGTAAATCATCGTGTGTGTGTGTGCGCACACATGCACACACGCAACCAGAGAGTACTCCCAGTTTTAGCTCTTCTTGTCTTCCAAGCTTGGCAACTGGGATACCCCCACCTCGCCTCCCCTGCCCCTCTCCAGGGGGCCTTTGTTAGGAAGGAGAGAGAGTGAGAGCACGATGGTTCATCAGCCAGGCTCCCAGAGGAGATCTGAGAGCCAAAAGGTTTGTTGTCTAGAGGGCTGAGATGCGGGGAAGAAGAGTCAGGTGCCCCTCAAATTCTCGGGAAGGATCAATGCAGGGTCAGCACTGGGAAAAGGCACCTCCTGAAGCAGCGCACCCTAAGCACCTCACCCCAGTTCTGGCCATTTTCATGTTTCTCACAAAGAAGCTAAAATCTCCATTCTTTAGTCTACCTCCTTTTCAATTCCATCAGAGTGAAACCAAATCAAATGGATTGGGATAGGGTAAGATGATGATAAGCTTCAAGAAAAACTGTATTAGAATGTATCAGAAAGAAGGGGATCCCCACTGCCCCTCACAGCAGACAGTGAGCAGGGTGACAGGCACAGGTGTGCAGCTGTGGCCGCACAGCCACGGAAGCGCAGAGCTACCTGGGGAAGGAGAACCGACTTGGCCAACTACACTTTGTGTTACTGTCTTAGCGTAATCTCACCCCTCCATAATGTCTTTTCCCAACAGATGTCAGCAAAAAGTCTTGAGCAAGGGAGGGTTTTTCTAGCTCACATGAAGATCCCATCGGAAGCAGCTGTGGCTCTGAGTGAGTTGAATCCATGGACGGTCTAGAGAAGCCCCTTGCTCTACCTGAACTCCATGCCTCATCTAACTAAGATTATCTTTCTAATAATGCAGTGTCTGCCTGTGTAAACATATCGATGTAGCCGAGGAATTACATTCCCTTGGAGGGAAGCTACAAAGCCTGTTTAGTGTTTGTATATTCAGTCCCAAGGCACATGAGGCAGACCACAATTTCTAGGGCAACCAATTTCAAATGCTCTATCTTGCAGATTCCATGAGAACACCGGGGCAGGGAGTGCCCCTTGGGGTACCCACAACCCAGTAACTTCTGCTTCTCCAGAAATGCCCCATCTGCATTGCCAGAAGCCTGGGTTGATAACCCTGGTCACTTGGCCACAGCTCATTGGGCCAGGGGTAGACAGCTGACCCTGGCAGAGCCAATCAGATTCTCCCTCTCCTGGGAATTTGGGATTGGACAGTCTCTCTCTGTGGCCCTCGGTAGCTCCAGAGTTAAGGCAGCCTGCTCCCAGCCACCATGGTTGAGATTCAGAGACAGAAGAAACACTACACATATAAAGAAATGGGAACTCGTGTGGTTTTTCTCGTTTGAATCCATAGACTCTGATGCCCTCCCCCTTGGCGTTCCTGAGACCCTGCAGATTCAATAATAGATCCCTCCTCTCCACGGAAATGATCCCAAGCAGGTTCAGCATCCGTGCTCCAGGGAGAGACGCAAGGGTCCCAGCCAGGGACAGGACAGAGCTCTGCCATCTCCATTGTTTTGTGGTCACAAGAGGCCGAGCAGGCCTGGTGACTGTGGTCACCGTGCCACACATTTCCGGACCTGTTGCTCTTGTCACTATTTCCCTCCAGCCCGTGCTCCCTCTTTCCAGCCTGCCAAGCTAGGTGTTGCAGAGAAGTTACAGAGCCTGAGGCCAGATCTAAACTGGACCTGCGGGCTCAGGTAGCTGTTCACCCAGGGCCGCTCGCAGCCCTGCGGCCACACGCTGCAGCTGGTATTTCTTACACCACCAATGGCCCATGCTGGTCAGACAAACAGACTTAAGTCAAGTCCACGCTCTGAACTTCTCAGTAAATAAAGTTGAATGGCTTCGTCTCGAGCCCTAGCCCTAAAACGGAGCCTGGCATCTCCGAGAGCCTCGCTCAGGCCCACAGGGTGGGTATCCCTGGAGCTCTCTCTCCCCAGTCTTTCACTATTCAACGAACACTGACTCCCGTCAGTCCTCACGGTGTCTCTGCAGGCCTCTTTTTGATCTTGGCCAAGGGTCTCAGGACCCACGGGTCCCTCTGACTCCCAGTGGCAGGGCAGGGGACAGCGCTGGTGGGCTCTCAGTTTAACCGCCTTTGAGGTCGGGGGTAAGATTGCTCTAGAGGTCCCAGCGCTTTGGATGCTGGCTGACAAGTTTGGGGATGTAGCTCAGTGCATGCTTCACATGTATGTCGACTAAGACAAGCCCCGTGATACCAACCCCAAGTTTGCTCCAGGTTCCCTCAGGGTAGAGCCCCGCTGTTACTCACAGCTGGCTGCTGAGCTTCTGCTGGGAGCGGAAGTTAAAGGACTTCCGACTGTCCACCATCTTCTTGAACTGCTGCCTCAGCTTCCGAAGCTCGGCCTCTGCCAGCTGCTCTTTGGCCTTCTCAGAAAGTTCTGGAAAATTTTCGGAGTCTTTTCTCCAGTTCTTCTACAGTGGGGAAAGACGGTGGGGGCATTGAGCTTTGGGTTAGGTGTCCAGTTCCAGGACAACGGGTAGGTGGAAGGGGTGGAGCCAGGCTGGAGGTGGACGGTCATCCTTGAGTGACGTCAACTGTTCATCTGTTACATGCAAAACCCGCCCAGGTTGCCTGGATGGAGAGGAAGCTGGGCCTCACTACGCATACTAAAGAGGCAGCCCTGCTGTGTGACCTTGGATGAGTCCCTTGACATCTCTGATCCCCCAGCTGCTCATCTATTTGTCGTTGGATGAGAGGAACTGGGTGCTCTGGATGCAGAGAGCAGGAGTTACGACCTACCTTCGGCATTTTGACAGAATTGTGTCTTCCCTCTGCTCACGGTAGGCAGCAGGCCCAAGCCAGAGGTGTCCTCTCTCTCTCTGCAGTGCCCTGTCCATGAGGGGGGAGGAAGAGAACTTGTGAGCACCCCAGTTGGTGGGGCAAACCGGATGGCACCTTCTCCCTTCCCCACCCCCGAGTCCCTCCTTCCGCCCACGGCTTGGCACCCAAGGACCACACACAGATGGCTGCCCGGGTGTGACGAGAGGCTTCTTTCTAAGCCATGTTTGTCTGAAACCCGTTCCTCTCATGGTTTATTATTAGGAGCCAGGCAGATGGCTCCAACGTGCCAGCGGCCCTCTGCCCCGTGTTCCCAGAGAAGAGAGGTCCAAATGGCATCAGGCCATGTGTCACCTGATGGGATTAAAGCAAAATGTGCCCAACTTCAACTGTCAGGGGGCCCCCTCCCCCTTTAAATGAGAGCTATTTTTATTATCTTGTCATCACTTGAGTGAGGCTTTTCTGCCCTACAGGTAGGGATGACAATGTTACTATCAGGAGCCCCGCAGAACTGTGAGTTCCTCCTCACCACCCCTCCCACTGCCCTCCAAGATTTTGGGACAAATTCCTAAAGCAGAGATGATAGCTTGGCTACCCACCGCGGGGTCCTGCTGCACCCCACATTGAGGGTTAATTGTGTCAGTCATCAGATCTCAGTCCAAGTTTTCCCCCAGTCACTTATTCTTTGGGCAAGTTACCTCAGCTCTCTGGGTCTCGGTTTCCTCGTCTAGAAACAGGAGACATTCTAGAAGCTACCTTACAGGCTGAGCATGTAAGGCCCTGAGCTAGGCACATAGTGAGCGTTCAGTTAACAACGGCTGGTATGTGCACAGTTCCATGTGAGCCAGAGTGAGGGGGTCCAGTGTAACGAATGTTTATGAAGGCTGAGTGTTACCCAGCATTCCTCTCTCCCTGTAACAACAGCCTGAATTGTCCAGAGGAAGCCCCCCGCCTGCCTTCATCTTTACTCCCCTGGTAAGGATCCCATCCCACCAGCCTCAGGATTAGAACTTTTAAGTCTGGAAGGGCCAAGCAAGGCCAGATTCCTGGCCAATCTGCATAAACCCCACTCCCTGGTCTGAGTGATTATTTCAGGGATGGGCATGTGATGATGGCTAGTCCAAGCAGATTAATAACGGAATTTGGTTTTGCACACAGAGAAACCCTGTGTCCTGCTGCACTTGAACCTAGGTGACAGGTTGGGAGTGACTGGCTGCAACTTGCTTCTGCAGGGAGCCTGAAAACAAAGCTAAGACAAAATGGAGTCTGAACGTTCGGGCCATCACTCAAGCCCCTGGACATAGCTAAGCCTGAATACAGACCTGGATCACATCCAATTACATTAATCAATATTGCCTCTTCAGGCAAACCGAGATACGTTTTCTAGAAATGAGCTTTCTGTCACTAGCAGCCAGATGAATTCTCATGCCTGAAGTCAATTCATTTAGCATACAAGCTAAGCCCCATCTGTGTGCTAAATGTTGTAGGGAATTCACAGTAGTAAGTCAGCCTTCTGGGCCTTAGGAATCCCACCCAGGGCAACACAGTGGGAAAGGTTCCGTGAAGGAGGTGATTTTAATTTGGGTTTTGATGGTTAAATAGGAGTTTGCCAAGTAGAGAAGAAAATGGAGGAAGGGATTTTGGGTATAGAGAACTGTCATGAGATCTATGTAGGTGACAGCACCCTCGGGCACAGACTGGTGAGGTCTGGGAAAGGCTGGATATTCCTTAAAGCAAGTATGTAATCGGGCCCACTGTAGGAGGCATCAGTTCATTCCTCCCCAACAGCCAACCCCCCTTGGTGTACTCTAGTCACACTCCCAGCTCTCCACAGCTCCAGGTGGGATCATGTGACGAGTTTCAACAGTGTGGGTAGAGGGGATGTGTGGGTGACTACCAGAAGTGGATATTCAGCCTCTCTCCCCCCACCTGAGATCCAGGAGAGGTGGAGCAGAACCACAACACAGGGCCCCCAAATCATCTTGTGGGAGTCACCTGCCAACAACAAATATCCTCACTGGACTTATTAGAAAATGAGAAATTAACTTTTGTTGTGGCAAGCCCATGAAATGTGGGGCTTGTAACAGCCACTGGTGTGACTCAAAGAACCCCTGACTTCTTCCTTGCTAATGGGATTCTGATTTTGTTTCTTCTCAAAGCACACAGCCCCACAGGATGAATCTTGATTGGTTCCCACATCATGGGGTCCTCTCTTCCCCTTGTCAGTGGTTGGTCTACATATGGACATGTGACAGGTTCTGGTCTATGAAACATAAAGAGAAATCTGTTCCTATTACAAAAGAACTTGTCCATGTTCCCTTCTCTTCTTGTTTTTGGGGATTATTGCGAAGGTGTAATGGTTGGTGCTGAGGCAACCATTCTGTGACCAGGAGGAAAATACCATTAGCACATTGAGGAGAGAAAAAAGGAAAGAAAAGAGGAAGGATGGGAATTTTAGATCCTATTGACACTGTTTAACACTGGCCCATCCCTGGAACTACCTACCTCTGGGCTTCTTGTTGAGCGAAATACTGTTCTTATTGTTGAATGCCATGCCTAGCAATTGCAATCTCGAGCATTCTTATCTTACAATGTAGGAACCTCTAGCTTTTCCCTGACATGTTCTAGAGAATTTGAGGACAAACTAAATTTTGGTAAATCATTCTTGAAGGAGAATCAAATGTTGGGAAATTCCCACAGGCAGATGTTGATTCCTTAGCTTGGTTCCTAAAGAAGCCTCATTGTTGGGGTAAAACCTACAGCGGATTTACCTGACTATTAAGGTTTGGGCAAAGGACACTCACTCTGGGCCTCTATCAACTGTAGACTGTTGTGCGACTCCAATTTCTTGTCATCTCTCAGATTATAGGCTCTTTGGGTCCTAAGTGGCTCTGTGATGCCCCTATAAAAGCATGAATGATATAGACCCAACATCACTAACGTCGTCATTTTACCTCTCGGAACCTCAGTTTCTTCATTTGTAAAGTAGGGAGACCCATGCTCAGCTCTTCTCATGAAATCATAGATCTAAAGCTCCCAGCTAGCACTGACAGGCATTTTGACAAATTTATGTAACTCATTCTGGGAGTCAGGATTTTCAAGTCCCGGTTTAGCCCCCCTTGAGCTAACTGGTTGTGCTGTGTCTGTCCCCAGCAACCAGAGGCTCCCTCAGTGCCTTGTGTCACATACTGGCCCCCACAGAGCGAGGCTCCCCCATGGACATGGCTTCTCTCCAGCTTCCGATGCTAACGCAGCCCTCTTCCTTCTGTCCATACCCCCTGGGCTGGTCCCACTCTGCCCATGGGAACAAAGCCACCCCCATTCTCACTGACGGGCCTGCCAAGAGACCCCCATGTCCCGGTGTTCCGGCCCCTGGCTCACCACTGTCGCTCATTCAGGGGTCTCAAACTCGCTCTCCTGCGCTGTGCGCTCCTCCCTGCTGCCTAACACCTCCCCATAATTCCCTTGTTCTCTGAACTGCCTGGAGCCAGCAGCCATTTGAGCCTGGGAGGAATCTCAAAGCTGCCCACTCCCAGGAAGCAGTGCGTGCCTGGGGTGTGCTGAGCGGCGCAGAGACCTGGGGGGACATCAGCGAGGGCCTCTAGCTCCCTTCCCCACCCCCCCACAGTATCCAAAGTCCTGAGCACATAGTGTGCACTCAGCAAACACTGTTGGAAGGGCTGAAGAGGCTGGAAGCCACCGCTACCATCTAGTGTGAATCAGCCAGGGTCAGGCCAGCAAGCTGAATGCTCCGAATCTGCCTTTAAAGGAAAAGCCTGACTCACTGAGGGCTCTGCAGGCCCCTGGGGCAAGGCACTGGGGGTTTGTGAATGCAGGTCTGAGGCCGTTGGAGCCTGGGCTGCGACCTGGCGGAAGGTTAAACAAACGCCTGGGGTGTAGCCAAGCCGGGGCGCAGAAACACACACACGCCCACTTTTAATTGGGATCGTTAAGGGGAGAGGGAGGCGGGGCACGGGACGTTCGTGGACTTTCTCCAGTTATTTATACTCTGTCGTTTATCCGTGCGTAACTGAGGGAGAGCATCAGACTTCCCAGGTAGTTAAACGTTT